GGGGGGAATAATAGAATGATTTCAAGGTAGAATTAAGACAAAGGAACAAATAGCTAGAAAAGGAACAAATTTATTTCTCATGAAACAGAGGAAAAGGAAATTCAAAGTATTTTCTTTCTTGATTTTATTGAGAATATGGGGGTTGGGTGGGGGGGAGGGGGTATAGGGAGCACATGTTTTCTGCCGTGGGAGGTGTAAATGTGTCATTCTCTAATCGTTTGCCTATGAATAGGCATGCTAAAACCGTCATCATCGAGCCAAAAGGTTATGTCTAAACTGGCCACTACACTCAACTTATTTCTTCAATTACCTTCGAACCACTTCTCAACTTGTAAACGGTCAACTAGTATTTGAAGTTTATAAGTTTTGAGATTGACATCAATGCATAACTCGTCTTAGTTACTATGTTATAATTAAATATTTAGATATATATGATAATTTTTCTAATACAAATATAATGTCTAAACAAAAATCACTAGATTTGCCGAATCCATATTACTTATACTCTAGCTCTGCTGCACATGGAAAACTATTGCTTTCTTTTATTTCCTTTGTTTCTTGCTTTTGATTCCCTATGTATGAGTGTTTCTTCTTTCCCAAATATTCTTTTCTAACTCAATCCCGACCAAAAATCAAATCACTAGTGTCTCTTATTGAAATCTCTTTAACGTTTTCCTAGGCTATAATGTTACTTAAAATTCAGTTCCTTTAAACACCGAGATTTATGATACAACATTTGAGTCTTTATTAGTTGTTTAATATGCTTGTCTGCAGTCTGTTTATTCTTTGGACAAGGGACAAAATGGAAGATTGAGAAATGACCAACCTATGTCCTTCTTGTCCACGAAAAAAAAGACAAATAAAGGGTGAAACTGGGTAGCATAGAAGTTAGGAATTATATTTGATAGAAAAGGGAGAGTCATATGAGGTGGGTATGACTATAAAAAAATCCTAACTGTAATTTTTTTGGCTATAGAGGTTTAGAAAAGGTGGTACGTGTGTATGGAGTTAGGTCCATCAAATAATGGCCTTAGCTTTTTGCTCACTCCACCTTTTAGTTTAGCTTTGACTTTATTCTGATTTTTAACCAAACAACATTATTCACTTCATCTACTCTAATTGCATGATTATTTCTTCAGTTTTGACTATAAAATTAGATTGTTCAGTTTAATGAACAAGAGAGATGGCCAATTATAGTAGCTTTTTGAGGTTTTATATAAAAATAAAGCACGCCAACGAGTCTTTTTTTCAGTTTGGGACATAAAGGAAAAAGAAGTATGCATGTAAACAAATAAACATAGAGTGGCACAGCTTTAATCATCTTCTTGATATGTTATAATTAATATGAAAAATATGCTCTCAATGGCAAACACTTATTTTTTTCTTTTTGTTCTTTTGTTA